TCAACAAGGCGGGAGACAAAGCACTCGTGTATTTGGGGTAAACACGTAGTGAGATGACAAAACGATATGGGACCGGGCTGGCTAGGCGCGACGGGCTAGCCAGGGCACCCCGCCACCTCCAAAGCACCTGGTACGCCATCCACGGGCTTTACCTGACATCTGCTTTTCACATATCAGATAAGATTACGCCAATGCTCCCGGACGCCTTCACCTGTTCAAACAACACCAGCGCATGACAACGCATTGGGTGTGCTAAGCTGGAGGGAGAAGACAGATAGACAGGGACTAGATCGCAAACATGAGTAATCTTGGTGGCAGGTGCTCACTTGTAATTGGGGCAGGCTAAAGATATAGACTGATGAAGGCAGCTCATTATTATTTATGGGTTTGATTTATGTAAGCACCAAGGGGGGTAAAAAGGGGGCCCGCGATGTGAAATTTTAAAGAGTTTACGACTGTTTTTAGCCTGACATATATCTTGTGATGAATAAAGTATAGACAGGCAGAATGGTGTGTGTTGTGAACATAAAGATCTAATCAGGAAGTATAATTAAACCTGCTAGGTGCTCTTTTCACGTACACAGCTCCTGCCTGCATGGGAAATTTGTTATGTTATGATGGCTTTTATGATTTCGGCGAGACACATAATGTTGTGAACGGAATTGTGCAGTAAATGTTATGTCTAGCTCATTGGTTTAATTGAATTATTTTGACTAATATTTATGCGGCATCAAGGGACTCAGTTAGTAGAAACATTCTCCCACTATTAAGTGCCATAATGGACATTGCCCTGGCATCGCTGAGCAAGACACTTAATTTACGTTTAATTTACCTTGTTTTTTTTTACCCTGGTAGAATGTTATTTCCTCTTTAAAAATATACCTGGGAGTTGTGTTTTGTTTCATTCACATGTTTGAGCATTCCTGTATTATTAGTCTGCCTAAAATCCAAAGCTCAAAATGTTCAGTTCCACCTAGTTTTTCAAGTTAACAGTTACCTTTTATTAGCTTGATTCTTTAGCCGATTTCACTTCATGGAAACTGTCTGACCTTGCAGCATTAGGATTCGTTCACTTGACTGTAGGCGAGTACTTTTTTATTTAACCAGTCACTGCTATTTGGTCATGACGTATGTAATGCACTGGAACCCTCAGTGATGTCAGTGTAACTGCCGACACAACAGCAAACAAAGCAGAGAGTGAACATGTCTGTCAACGATCATTGTCGTTTCTGTGAGGTGGACTTGCGAATTAAAGCGCAATAAAAAAATGTGAAGTTTGTATCATCTACATCTCGACCGCTTTGTTTACTGTTGTGCTGTACCACAAAAGGGACCCAGACAGGCTCTTGAGTTTGATGCCACGGCTTCACAGCTCTTCGCTGATTGTCCGGTGCGCGGTCCACAACCTCCAGGGTTCTTGCAAACCGTACACTAAGTTGGCTAACTTTTTATACCTTTTACCTTTTGTTTAGTAGAGACTGGCAATTCCAGGACTGGAAGTATCCAAATGATTCCAGTGAACATGTATGGGGTTTAAAAATACAGTGGAGCACATCCTGTATTACCACAAGAGATGGAAGATGGAGTGTTTTCTGTTTGAGAGAAGAACACAGCTTAAATATGCATTTGTGTGTTAAACATGTGTGAATGAAACAAAACACAGCTTCAGGGATGTTTTTGATTAGGATACAATATTATAACATACATCAGAAAATAGTTCAATATGGGCCCTTTAACCTGCCTCAGAACTGAATGAGGTGCACCTTCTTGTGACTTATTCCGGACATAAAACCAAGCCAATGGAAAATAGTGTGGAAATACAGTTGAAATATACAGTCTTTTCTCTCCTGCCTGTGCCGTGTCCAGTAACAGCACTGCTCTGACTAACAGTGGCCCCCAGCTGCTGATACGTGAGTGAGTCAAGCAGTCATCAAGTGCACATTTGAGTGTGAACGCCTGAATGACATCATGTGGCCCCAGGCGCTCCCTCTCCCAGACAGACCTGGCTGTTTTGTTTTTTTTATTTATTCACACTTTTATTTACAAAGCGTGTAATATTTCTACTTAACTGCCTCTCACCTCTTTACTACCAGCACCACACCACTGCAGGGGTCACTGTGCATATAAAGTGGATTGCTACCACCATGAGGACAATGCTCTTCTGAATAATAAATAAATAAAACTATAAAATCGAAGGTAGTGGAAAATGAAAAGGCAATACATTGGTAATCAGAAGTGCTGTGTACAAGCCTTGTTTTTACACTGACACTTTGATATAAGATAGTAAAGCTGCCTCACAAAAGCTTTATGCATTCTATATCATACATGACAGTCTCATTTATATGCACAGACTTGTACTGCACAGAGCATATGGACGGGAGAATGAGTGGCACTGTACATTTAGGTCAGAGGGGTCAGCTCACTTATGGACGTGTGATAATCCCCCAGGCTTATTGACGTATTGATCCATAAAAGTTACAAATGTTCTCTTCTGCAACTATTGTATTTTTAATTACACACAATTGTGCATTCTGTTTACACTGGGGGCAGTTAAAGGTCAAGTCTGAAGTTGGAAAACATTCATAAATGTTAACTAAACTATTCTAAGAATAGCAGTGTTAAGAGAGAACTGAAGGTTTCACTTCCATATTCTGCAAGAATGTATTATGTCAGAACATGTTTCCAAGTATGCTGTTACCAGTATTCCTCACAGGATCAAGAAGTTATATTACTCATGATGATGCAAAACTGTTATAGGCTCCAACTCTCATCTCCCTATCTCTCTTCTACCCCTACCAGTGAAGACAAAGCAACAGTGTAATGACCTTATCCATTTAAGAACATTTTTACATAAACCTTTCATTTGTAATACTGTCAAAATCCTTAGAGTCCTTTGTATAATAACAAAATGTGTAAAATGGCTTCACATATTTTTCTCCAAATGCCCTCCCTGTCACAGCCCTGTCCTTTAAACCAAGCTTCGACTATAGTGCAATTTGTTGCTGAAGTTTGTAGCTCCATGTTGAGGAATCTGACCTCTGACCTTTGGCACAAAAGGCAGGAACTGCCCACTTTGCTCAGGCAGCAAAGCATGACATCCAAAAACTTAACTTAAGTTTCACTAATTCATCCACTATCTGTTCAAATGTTTGATACTGGAGAATTATATAAGTTAACTTCAGTTCCACTTGCTTCTACATTCTGTTAATTGTGTTGGATTGTCAACAGAAGATTCAAGCAGCTCCTAATCTCATCACGCTCTCCAATGGTCCAAACACTGCACAAACTAATTTACGGAAATTCAATATTTGGGCTTCAGCTTTGACTGCGACAGTCCAATATTTTGTCAGTGCTAAAACCTTGAATAATAATAATAATAATAACATTGTCAAAAATATGAAAATTTACAAATGTGAACCACTGTTTTCTGATAAAAAAAAAATAATAATAAAATAAATAGTAATAATAACTGGACAAAATGTTACCAAAATGTTGCTTTTGATTTACTATTGCAGGCGATTAATATTTAGCAGATGAGAATGTGAAAAAAACGTTGTACCACTCAGGAGGATATGAACAAGGCCTGGGCTAATGACATCACCTGCCTATAGCAGATTTAATGAATGTAGCTGGTGCGGACGATTAGGACAGAGATAAATCTACAGCACATGTTAACACACACACACACACACACTTTCATATATAATGCATAGGGCCAGACGGGGAACTGTGGGGTTGGCTCTAGTCTGACATCTAGCGACGCCGGGTGTAATGGAGAGAGAGAAGAGCACATGGAAAGCATAGGAAGGAGGGAGGGATAGAGGGAGGGAGGGGAGGAGGAGCAGAGAGGAGGAAAGGCTGTGTGCGGACAGTGAGGACATGCCCCAGCAAGCTACAGTAGTTTTAAATATAAATTACATCTAAGCTTGCAATATGTTTATTTTGGTTGTGGAGACGTTTTGCTTTTACAAGTTAATGTCTGGGCTTGATAGGGGACAGTATGTAATCTAGTAAATGTTGGGATAGTGGGTGTGTACTGAAAAATACAGTATTCATCAAAAGTGCTTGGACTTTTTTGGATGAAAAGGAGAACATACATGAAGAGTATAATTTAGGATGCACTTTACGTCTCTAATATCAGATATGTGAATGTTTGTGGCCACATATCCAATTTATTTTTACGCAGTAGTACTACAAGAACTGGTAGTGACTGGGTGGTAGATCTAGTTGTTCTAGTGAAGGCATTTTAGGAAATAACTGACAAATTAAACATGTTTTTTTTTTTTTTTTTTTTTTTTACACAAGTATTTGTCATCATTTTGGGTGATAAGGGAGAATGGAGTAAAAGTTGTAAGGGGACACCTGACCTTAGCCCCCCTCTCCAAACCTCCCCTGTCCAACGCTGTATCTATATTTAAAACATATGAGTACTGTAACATTAATAATTATAGTGTGGCCCATATAGAGCAGAGAAGTATCTTGTAAACAGAGTTCTTATCCCCCAACCTGTGGCTTCTCTGATGTAGTAATGGTTTGTAAATACTAGGTTGGCTTCCATTTGTTTGGGTGGGTTTTGCCCGCACTCTCCTCTCCAGTCCTGAATAACACGCTACCATGTTGCGGCTATAATGTTAGTGTCTTCTCAGCATTCCCACTTATTACAAATCCTCTATATATAGTCTATACTCGTCCACATGAAACTAATGGCAGTTCTAAGTATATCTCCCTGCTTCCCCTTGCACTGGGGAAAGGACACGGTGTTCCTTTAAACGCGCAAGTTTCTTCCATTGGAGTCTGACAGGAATGAGGTCAGACACAGCGATCCTCATTGCACATTATTATTATTATTACCACTTTTTTATTCAGCCAATAGGAATAGAGCGGGGCGTGGCCGGGGTGGAAATTCAGGATGGAGACAGCAGCCCATTGGCGTGTGCGTCTGGCGTTGAGGCTATAAATGCTGGAGGTTGCCGTTGTTGTGTTTACAGTAATATCAGCAAAGCGCACGGGAAACAAGGAGACTATGAGAAAACGCAGCCGCTCCATACAACCACATGGTTCTTCACGCGCACAGAGCCAGGTTCATATAAGGGACTCGCTCTGCCCACAGCGGCGACAGCTCAAAGTTCCCGGGCGAGAGTTCAGCCGCACCGGCAGCTGAGAGACCAAGACGCACGGATTACATTTGCTTTTTTTCTCCTTTTTGGACAAAAAGAGAAACAAACTTTTGAGTGAACTTTTAACAGAGACTGAACTGAGCCGAACTGAGCAAATTGTGAACTTTTTTCACCATGGTGCAGCACATGAGCCACGCAGACAGCGACAGGGACTCCACAGACACGGGAGACATGGACCTGGAGATGGACTCGTCTCCCACCCCGGAGTCCCCCTCCTCTGCAGACAGGAACAGTGGGGACTTGGCGTGGTGCAAGACGCCAACAGGACACATTAAAAGACCCATGAACGCGTTTATGGTCTGGTCGCAGATTGAGAGGAGGAAGATTATGGAGCAGTCGCCAGACATGCACAACGCGGAAATCTCCAAGCGCCTGGGAAAGCGGTGGAAGCTGCTCAAAGACACAGACAAGATCCCGTTCATCCGCGAGGCAGAGCGGCTACGGCTCAAACACATGGCCGACTACCCAGACTACAAGTACCGGCCCAGGAAGAAGGTCAAGTCTGGCGGCAGCAAGCCGGAAAAGAGCGGAGAGAGAAAAGCCGGTGTGAGCAAGAGGAGCCCGGCGTCTAAAGCGTCATCAGCAACAAGCAGGACGCACAGCAAGCAGAAGCAGATCGGGTTGGACTACGCGTCTCCCGGTGATCACCAGTCCCTGTTTAAATCTCGGTCTGCGTCCGGAGCCAGACAGATCCCAGACAAGGCGAGACGCAGCGCGGAACTAAGCCCGTCAGCGGGAGTCCCAGCCAGCCCCACACTGAGCAGCTCAGCGGAGTCAAGCGACCCATTCAGCCTTTATGAGGAACACAGCCCGGCCACGAGCGACTCCTCATCCTCCTCTTCCTCCAGGTACGCACGCGCCTCGTCTCCCACACCGTCTGCCTCGCATTCGTCCTCCTCCGTGTCATCTTCGGACGAGGAGTTTGAGGACGAGCGGCTGGAGATGAACCCAAGCCCGGGCGCGTTTGAAGCCGTGTCTGTGGGAGGCAGCGCGGGCGGCATGGGCTTCTCGGACCCGGAGCTCGACCGGGACTTGGACTGGAGCTTTGGGGAGTGCGGGGCCGGCTCTCACTTTGACTTCCCCGACTACTGCACCCCCGAAGTGAGCGAGCTGATCTCAGGAGACTGGCTGGAGTCCACCATCTCCAACCTAGTGTTCACCTACTGACACTTATTAGAAAGAGACAGGTGTCCGCTTTTTGTTCACTAAATAAAAGGGAGCAGCGGAGGAGAAGGTACGCACGCGCCCACACTCATGGACAGACGGGCACGCGCAGAGCAGACAGACATGAGGAGAGGAGAAGGGGGGAGTGAACTAAATGCTTAGTTTGCATTTGTGAATGTAGAGCAGCAGAGCGCAGTGAGACGCAACCCGCGGTGAACTTTTTTGATGAACATTGATGTTACATTTGGCTCGGGGCAGAGTAAGTCACGTTGTTTTCAAATGGTATAGGCAATTCACATTGACCATCAAGTTGCTATTCAGGTGTTTTTTTCCTCCAAACAACACGCATGATAACGGGAGGATTTTGTTTGTAAATGTTCATTGCTGCGTACTATTACGCGTTTGTGTGACCATATAACAGGACACAATTCACTATCACCAGCTTCTCTTTCAACGGCAGGACTTTTAGACTGATTCCAAACTTCAGAAGCCCTTGTATTCTGAATCTTTTGAAACACTCAGTGCACAATTCAGGACCAATGCTCCCCCTCCCCCTGACGCGCATCCTTTCTGCCTAGTGCTTCAACTTTGTAGTTCCTCTGTGTCAGACGGCGTTTCTTTTTATATCGATGTATTTATACCGGCCAAACCTTTTTATACATAGAAGTATTGTTCTCGTACAGGTCTCGTTTGTGTTTGTGCACATACACCTGTCTGTATCCAGCGCAGGAGGAAGGAAGGGCTAGAAGTGTATCTTATTTAATTCAAAAATGTCTCTCACTTTTACGGAGATGTTGAGTGTGTCATGATTTTCTACTTGTATTTTTGTACAAAATCTATTGGAGCGGGGGTTTCCAGCGAGTGGGTAGACATTGGCTCTACATTGGTGTCGCAGAGAGCGGGGTTTGTTTGGCACAATCTGACCTCACACAGTGTTTACAGTATTTACCCACATGCTTCTTAACGGCGCAGTGACTCCATCTTTCACCAGCCAATAAACACAGGCCAACGCAGCGTCTGAGTGGCCACTATTGCGCAGACCCCGAGAGTCACTGTTTTTTTCTGGATAGAGCTAATACCTCTGTGTGCTTTTTTTTTTCTTTTCTTTTTTTTTTTTTTTTAATCAAGATAAGTTTTATTTCCAAACCACTGGATGACGTTCACACTCATTCCACTTTGCCTAGACTCGGAGGGAGGGAGATGTATGAAGTGCTTCATCTGTTATTGCGCAAATTGCATCAAAAAATAGTATTTAACCTTTCTGTACCTGTTGGTTAAGTATAGCAGGCTAATTGTTTCCTATATTATGGCATGGCAAATAGCATTTGTATTTCAGATTCAGGTATATGTAGCTATAGCTGTTGTGTTTAAGATTTTTAAAAGAATAATAACATGAAGATATTTATGTAAACTGACTGTACTATAAGCAAAGATTGTGTGTTTTATGTATGATCAACGACAGGCACTAGGACAGCCATCTTTGGACAAGTTGAAGATGATTGTGGTCCAGGAGTTTCCTCTTCTACTACTTTTTTATTTTGAAAAAAGTCCCCTCAGACCATCTTTTTACTATTGTCCTATTTTATTTTTTCGTTTCTCATTTGTGCAATATGCTGTGTATGAACATGTTTTGTCCAATCATGCCAATATCATTTTGTTGATGTTTATTGCTCTAAAACCAGCCAATGTTTGGGTCAATCACTGCCTCTCAGACCTCTGTACAGATTGTTGTTCAGTTTTTTATTTGTTTTTCTTTTCTTCCAAGAAGGAAATAAAATCAGCTGGAACTGAAAAGTATACACGGTGTTTTCTCTTTCTTCTATTAGCCTTGGACACTTTTTGCTAAGTGTTGTTTTCTTGGAACTAGTGATTTGTTCTAGTCCCACTTTACTCAACAGCAGGGTTTCCAGGAATGTTGTCATGGTACTAGCTGTGATAGCAAAAAGAAGAAGAAAAAAAAAAAATAGCATCAATAGTCAACAACAGTCAATATAGTTGATACAATTGCATACACTTCTTGAAAGTACATAAGCATAGTCTCACTGGTACTGTACAATAACTACAACATTATAGTAATCAGAAGTGTAGTATAAGAAGAGAATTCTACTTTCTCTTTACTAAAGCACTAATAAACTATAAAGTATTAGTAGTATTAATATATATTATACACCATAACAAGGTGAAGTGATACATGCAGTCTGGATTGCATTTATGAAAACAAGCAAGGTTACATTGAGCTTTTATGCAGAAGTGTATAGAAGATGAGAAGCCTATAATTTCTTATTATTAATTTGTGTGTATGAGTCTTTTATATATATATATATATATATATATATATATATATATATATATATAAGTTTAAGTTTAAGTGCATTAAAATTTAGCCATCCATTATAATACATAATATAACACAGTGAAGTGGTACATGCAGTCTGGATTGCATTTATTAAATCAAGCAAACTTACATTAAGTTTTATGTAGAAGTGTATAGAAGATGAGAACTTTCTTAGTACTATTTCATATATAAAATATAAGTGGTATTAAAATACAGCCATCCATTATAATACACAATATAACATGGTGAAGTGGTACATGCACTCTGGATTGCATTTAATAAAACAAGCAAGGTTACATACAGATATTATGGCAAAAATTCTAAAATATCATCGATTTGACCTCAAAGTACACATATCACGGCAGGCATTTCACAGCACACGCCTCTGCACTGCTTCATATTTACATTGCATTATACTGAGACATGATGCATACATGTATTGGAGTACAACACGTTGTTTGAGCTCGTCTATAACATGTCTAGTCTGAGGCCACTGAGCTCTATATGACACTTTAAACAACAGTATTGATCAGCCCATCTGAAAGTATAATATCATTACATTCCTGATCAGAAATCCACTTGTGCTCCGTGCTCAGGTGTTTGCCTTGTGAAGACGTGTTTGCTGTAGGTGCAGACTAGATCGATGCTGGGGCCATGCAGAGAATCAATGGGAGTGGTCTGCCTCACTGCCTCCATTTTTTTTTTTTTTTTTTTTTTTTTTTTAACTCAGTGTGATTTTCCACGTGCAGAAAACGTGGCTACCATGGAAACACTGTATCCAAGAGAGAGAGAGAGAGAGGGAGTGGAGAGGGGGGTGTGGCAGCAGAGCATGGCTAGTGATCTACCAGGGGAGACTATAAGTGTGTGTGGGGCTAAGGGACAGACTGGGTATAGAGATATAACTAGAGAAAATGCCTCATAAAGTCATGATTTAGTGTAATGTATTGTAGAAAAATAGGCAGATTTGGGAAGCATGTGGTGTGGTGTAGCAAAAGAGGCCATTACTCGTGCATTTTAATGAAAACGCATTTGATTTAAGATGTTGAAGATCAAACTGGATAAATAATATGCTTCCCAAACTGATATATTAAGATTTATTTAACCAAAATGTGTGTGAATTATAATTTTCTTTTTGCTTTTTTCTCAATTCACTCATTGAAAACAACTGAACTGGATTACAGTTACTGTGGCCATGTGGTAGTACTAACTGTCTAAATCTACATATATTTAGTTTCATTTCTGCATTATTCGTGATTCATTGTCTATTTCAAAATCAACAACATGATACAAATTGAACACATGACTATACAAAAGCTAAAAATATGTGCAGCACATTCATTTTTAGCATTTTTTACTAATAGGGTAAAACAAAAATGTATTTCGTCTGTTGCAGTAGTGACTGAATAACTCTATCCTAGAAATGTGGGGATGTAGTTATTATGATTTTCCATTCACATAATCTTATTGTATTTGTACTTTTAGATATGATTACTATTACTACTTACTATACCTACTTCTTATCTTTCGTAGAGCACAGACATCCATATCTAGAATAAGCAGAAGCAGTATACCAGTCTCCCCTTTTTTCCTATTTTCTTCCCAAAAAAATATCAAGGCGCACACTGCTCCCCAAGGGCCCTGCGCGGGGGGAGTGGAGGGGGGAGGCCCATCAGACATTTCTGCGAGGCATGACTGGAGGAAAAAAAAAAAAAAAAAAAGTGGGCGTGTACTCCAACCCAAAATGCAGGGCGGGGGGTTGGGGCAAAGGCTTGTCCCAGAGCACAAGAAAAGACCGCTCACCAAATCCAATTAATTCCTTGTGGATGCATTCATTTGTCTGTTCCATCTGACGAAATCTCACAAGCATACACGCCTCTCCTGGCCTCCCCGTCGGTACAGTGTTTAGAGTGTATCAATTGACTAGCCTTATTCCACTAGAGACAGCAGTAATTATTTCCATTTTGTCTGTCAGATTGGAAAGGCTCTCCTCTTACCTCCTGTGCCGCAAACATCTTGGTGCCGTCAGTAATGAGACAGATAAGGTACGCTCATTTAACACACCCATCCTGAGCTAAAGCCAGACCTACTCACGGACACACTGCGTTTACGTGCTTCTTGGGGACATTACATTGACTTGCGTTCATTTTCTGAAAACTGATCCGAACCTTAAAGGTGCATTGTGTAACTTTTCTCGTGAAGGGACCGTCACCTGCTTGTTTCTATGGATATGTCATTGCTCTGCCTGCAACGTTCCTCAGTATGATATTAAACAACTCTACCTTAGGCTACGTTTATATGATGATGGTCTGAACAGAGGACGTGGCGAATCCGTGTATCATTCGTTCATTCGTTTTTCAATGTTAAACCAAAAATAAGAAATCGAAAAACCAACAATTTTCATAATGAAGAAAATAGTTGTTTTTTCGTATTCTTATTTGTGGTTTTATATTGAAAAATGAATGAACGAATGATACACGGATTGTGGCGTCGTGTCTTCACTTTTTATTCCGCGTTTAGACAAGCGTTTTTCTGGAGGAAAACTGCGTACATACGATGACGCAAAAGTGTGTCGAATTCGATTGGGTATGTATGCCAGGCGGCTAGGTGGTGACGCTAGGTGGTGATGTATGTGATGTGAACGTGTACACGACGTGAGCAGATCTGACCAGAGTTTTGCGTCTTGGGCAGTGTAGACGGAAACCCTATGGCGGAACGTATTCAACTTTTCCACTCTGGAGGGTGGTTTCAGATTTTTGTGTTTTTAAGCCCCAAAAACACTGTCACCGTTCAAATGAAAGGCACTTCTGATAAAATATTTTATCATTTTTACCCGCAAGCATTCTCGTGTAAACAGGCCCTTACATTCATTCAATTACAGGTGGTTTCATAGTTCAAAAACATCTAGAAAAACAGACTCTGACTCAGACTTCTGACTGTGAGCAGGGTTGCCTTTCCACAGATCTGTCTGTAACCCGCTCTGCTTTGGTCTCCATGTTGATAGAAAGGTTTAATATCATACCGTGAAACACTCCAGGCAAAGCAATAACATCTCCATAAAGAAAATACTTTTTTTTTTTGGAAGTTAATATTTGTACTTCTGGTTGGACATGACATGAGCAGCAGATATGACAGAGGTAATTCCATAACTGTTACCTAGCAACCATAATATTTACAAGGGTCAAAACAAATGTCTAAGTTGCACTATAGTTATGATTTGACCACTTTTGTTAAATGTTGTTTAAACTGTCAATCCTTGCTTAAAATCCAGCATAGAATTTTCAGTGTTGTTGACAGACAAAAAGTAGAGGTACTTTTTTTTTTTTTTTTAACTCACATCTACTTCCTGACTTTTTGCACTTTTTTCATCATAAACTGCCACTTTACTGAAAGTCGATACTTGCCTTACCTTAACCTAAACTCTAACTATAATCATGTTTGAACTTTAATGTTGCTGATCTTACAATAAAAGAATAAAGAATAACGTCACGGGGACCTGATTTTCATCCCATAATTGAGGCACAGCCCGTTAATTTGACTGTGTATATGCAGATTTTAGACCCCACAATGTAATAAACACCCGTACACACACACATACAGGAAATGGGGTGCGAGGTGTGCGACGTCTGCGGCCAATCAGGCGCTGTCGTCCGCAGAGGGATTGCAGAGGGAGATGAAAAAGGACACACATGTTCGCTTGACCCACATAGTGACACATGTGAAAGAACACACACATCAGCGAGGGAGGGGGGTGAGGGTGGGGGTAGAGGGGAGGGGGGGAGGGGGACAGGAGGCCTAGACTTGACCTTCACGGATGGTTGGAACAGCCATTTAACCAGAAAGTGTGTACAATCAGGCTAATATGTGCGTGATTATATTGTATATGCATGGGGTGAAATGTAAAGGGATGATACAAGAGGAAAAGGTGCTTTGTTTTGTGTTGTGTGGAGAGTTAAGTTCTGTTTGATGAGATCAGTTAGAAGTAATGTATAAATATATAAATAAACACTTTTTTGTATTGCATACTTACTTAAGTTGTGTCTATTGGCTTAAGAGTACTTGCACTTGAGTACTATTTTTGTTTGCCTGTGTTTATCAAAACTGATAGTAGCAGAAGTAAATGCTTCACTGATCTTAATGAAAGCAGTGTAAATGAAAATCATAACTACAATAAAATGTTGTGTGCCTCCTATTAAGGCTGTGCAGTTAATCGAATTTTGATCACAATTTCGATTTGTGTGTCAAATGATCTCCAAACTGATATAATTGAGATTTTTTTTTTTTTTTTTTAAAATATAAATTAATATATTTATTTAATTTTTTTAAATATAGAGATTGTAGAACAGCTGGATATATAGTTTATTTGGGATATATTTATGTTTTTTCTATGCTTTATTTCATGTTCCAAGTATATTTTATTCATTTTATGTTACGTTATGTTCACGTTATGTATGTTTATATATTG